TAAAAATGTATAAAACATTTAAATTGTATAACTAAGAATTTAAAATTTAAAACAAGGTTCCAGTTAAGTAGTTAATTCTGCTACAAAAAAAAAAAAAAAATCTAAAAACTATACACATTAAAACAAAAATTATTTTAGCATTTTATGCTCAAATTTGGATGAATATATTAAATAATCAAGAATAACAATTTTAGTTAAATTGTTGTAATTTAAAAATATTATTCGTGGGTGGTTAAATTCAAGAGTATACTTTGAATATATAATATATATACTATGAATGACTGAGTGAGTCGGGTACATAATGAATCTGATTTGATTAATTTGAAATTTATTTTATAGGTATCTACTTTTTTTTTGAAATAATAACAATATAAATACATAATTAATATAGTATAATATATCCTAGACTGACAAACCATCTTCACTCAGAATCGTTTTTTGTATACAATGATATTATATCATTAAATTCAAATTTATTTTAATACCATCTATTACAGTTACCCAACTGTAACCTACTGTATAGCAGAGCAATATCCACTTACTTACACGCTTTTTAAAAGTTATAACTAATTATAATGAATTTTATTACGAAATATCTTTCAAAGTTGTAATTAAATTATTCTTATGGTTCTTTGTTTTTATTTGATTATGGACATTTTCAAAATTTTAATGTATTTAAATAATTATTTATCAATATATTGATTGAATAAAGACAATCAAAAATATGAAATATTATAAAATGTTCATATTGACGAAGCAAAGAAATCTATGATTGAAATTATGTGCATGTGTAACACATTATTCTTTAAATTATTATTTAATTTTAAATAACAATGCATTTCTCGAATAATTACTTATAAATATAAAACTTTTTCGTCAAATCTAACTATAGCAATAATGTTAGGTACTGGGAAAAAAATAACTATATGATGACAGTAAAATTTAATAATATATTTAATAAAATAAAATAAAGAGTAATTTAGTAGTTTTATTACAATAAAGTAACTTTAGCTATAAATTACCTACAACAAAATGTAAATAAAATAAATACCATATTAAATTAGGTTCTTGAGAATTAAAAGAAAAATTACTACTCAACATGAATATTGATTATTGGATATTAGGTATAAATAACATAAAAATAATATTGTAATAATTTATTGACCATGCTCAGATTTGAATAACCCTGGTCAATCTAAATTCATTATTGAAAATTGAAATCACATTTGCATTGTAGAAGTTCAAAGCAACTATATTATATATAGATCAACTATAACATAGCCTATAACCTTGTTGCAGTAGCATTAAGATGAGGGGAATGCGAGGGATAGATCCCTCCATGACGTTTTTTCAATGAATAAATTATATAAATTATATTTTTAATTTTTAAATAGAACATGTTAAAATTTATAAAATCATTTGACCAACACTACCTTGTTTTTTTTTTATAAATGTATAATGAGATTGCCATTTGTGTCATATTTAACTATTTATGCACGGTGACACAACGACACAAAGTGATGCATTTATATTACACAACATACTTTACTATATGTTTAGTAGATAGTATACATTTAACATTTGAGAAGAATAAACAAATTTAGTTCAAGATTTTTAAAATCAGACAACATTTTATCAAATATTATTCAGGTGCCTATTGAATGTGTCATACTTCATTATTAAATGCATAATTAAAACTATTTATGCTTAGTTGCAATGGTTGTAGGCACATATACAAGGGGAGATGTGGTTAAGGGTTGAACTCCCTCTCCCAAAAACTAGAAGTTGTGTAATTTATTTATATCAATAACTTCAATATTGATTATTGTAATTTTTTTATGGATCTTAGTTTTTTTGTATGTGCCAAAATGGATAAATGGTTAAATGTTGCATACACAATCACTAAACATTTAATGAATCAATAGAGTGCTAATTATGGTTCCTTAAACATGATTTAGCAGCCCATAATAATTGCCAATTGGCCCAATTAAGTTTAGTGAACCATTATTACCTATTATACTATTATAGAATTATTGTATTTTTGCTTAATATTTTACTATAAGTCATAAGAACTTTAATTTTTTGAGTTTTATTTGTACAGTAAATATGAAAGGATGAAACGTAAAATATAATAACATAGGAATAAAATAATATTTTAAATATATTAATACAAATTACAAACAATGTTCAATTTAATAGTTAAAAATTAAAACCATATTTATAAGAAAACAATTATTTAAATCTTTAACTACCCATACATTTAAAATGCACAACCAAAAAGAGTATGAAAAAATTAATAAATAGTAATTACAGATACAACCATTTTCTATTGTTATAGTAATAAATAACAGATGAATATAATATCTATTATTTTATATTATAAGAACATATTACTATATACTAGCATACTGAATAAACAATACCAGTTATTAATAATAGATAATAACATTAATATTATTAATATTAAAACTATATTTTTCAATTCATTAAATATATAAGTAAATAGTAATATAACTCAGATATAAATCATCATTAGATAGTAAAAATGTATTAGATTAGAGTTAGTTTGTTACTATTTTAATTTCCTAAATAGTAAAAGGGAAATAAAATTATTACCTATTTAATAAGTTTGCACACTCTTACTTAATGAAAATTTGGTGCAATACATGGATATGGTGTTATAAGAAAATTTATGCTTAACTATTTAAATGTGAATATAATAAGTGAAAACATACGAAAATTGTAGAATAGCTCAAATATTTTATTATAAAAGTTTAACTTTAAGATCTAAACCAGCGGTTCTCAAACTTTTATGAATTAAAATGGCCTTTATGAACTAAGGCATTCCAATAGCGCTCTTCCCAAGTCACAGGATGACTAATAATGAAAAATAGAAAATAAAAAATAAAAAAAAATAAAAAATTCTAATGGATAGTATGAAAATATGTATTTAATTAAAACTATACAAAATAAATTAATTTTTATTTACATAATTGTAATTGTTTCTGTGCCACCATTTTCATGTTTTCAAATTTATTTTTAGACCATATAAAAGTTTATGTTAACATGGCGCCCCTGCAAAGACACGGCACCAAATATTTTAGGAACCACTGGTTTTAAAAATAATAATTCTTAATACCATTCATCTATAATCCCTGTAGAAAAAATACACATAAACACCACCTGACTCATTTTGTGATGCTCCAGATATAGAGTTAAAATAGTATATGATAAATTTGACTAAACAATTGTTAAAATTGATTTATTTATGTAACATATCATAATATCTGGTAAATTATATACTATTGAAAGCTCTTAAAAGTATCTAAAATAATTGTACAGGATATATTTTAGTAATCACAGATCAAGAAATAATTCTAATATCACAAATTATATGTAACTATTTTAAACTTAATTAAATTATTATAAATAGGTAAACAATTTATTTATATTTTGAGCTATTTATATTATTTGGAAATAATTGATTCTATTACATTATGTATAGTAAATATCTAAACAATTCACTCAATTGGCCAATAAGAATAAAAGATACCTATACAAGTGTGCTAGTATTTAAATTTTGCAAATATTTTAGAAGAAGCCAATAATAGATCAATTATAAATACTTCAAAAATTCAAAAAAATTATTTAAGCACTTCCAATTTAACTTAATAGCTCTTAAAATAGGCCAATTAAAATTAAAAATAATTGTTAATAACATAATTATACAAGAGTTCAATTGTATAATCAATAATAATATTGAAAGTACTAAAAATTAATATGAATATAACTAACTATTTACGTGTAGTTGTGCGAATAATAAAATGTAGGTACACAAGTATCAGATCTTAACAAAACTATAATATCTATGAGACTAAAAATAAATCAATTAATCGTAATTATTGTTTACATTATTTCAGATGAATGCCATTGTAGTCATTGTACCACAGTATTATAGTAAATATGTTTGTAGTATTTAAAAACCTATCAATTAAACTCAATATTTTAAAATTTAACTGTATAATATACCATTTTGAAGTTTTTTCTTATAGTTTTTGCAGATTATTTCGAAAAGTTTCTTGAAATTTTATAATTTAACTCCCAAAATAGCCACTTAAAATAGTACAGAAAAAAAAATGAAAACAAGACATTATTATAAGACTATTAAGTACATTCATTGATCCTAATTCCTATTAGAATCTAAAATAAAACATAAATTGTCTCATTGTTTTAAATATTTTTTTAGTTATTAATTATTGTTTCATTACATTTGTAGAAGTGAATAGTGATAGTAGATTAAATGTGTAAAACTTTTAACAAAATATATATATATATTTTTAAGAAACTATAAATATATAACATAGAATAAAAAAACTTTTTCTATTCAGCAAGATAAACAGTCAGATTTAATAATAAATAAATAATTTTAGTAGATTTTCATAGAGAAATTTATAAAATTAGAGACTTTAAATTTGACTATAATACTGTATTTATATTACTGTACTTATATTTAATATTTGATTTTCTACTTATGTTATGTGCTTTATATGGCCTCTTAAAGAACTGTTTTTTTTTTTTTTTTTATAATTATTATTACATCTACTGAAAAATATATATTGAAGTTATATATTGCCAACATTGAGTAACATATAAACTAGTTACTGTAGTAACTGTCGAATCTTAAAAGTATTTTTGATTCTATTCATACAATGTAATAGCCTGTAATGATTGATTTTAATTATTTTGTAGTCAGTTTAATCTAAACAATGACTAAAAATAAATACAAATCTAAAAACTTTATGGTATTGATCCATTTAAAATTTAAAATGTATCTAATTATTTATTTTATTTCAGATTAATATTAATGCTTGTTTTTTTTTTTTTAAATGTACAAGATGTTAAAAAATCACAATTATAAGAATAAAATATTAATTATAGTAGATTTTAATACTTGGTTAAATTGATCAATCATTGAGTAGAAAATATAAGTAATGATTAAGAATAAAGATGACTTATTTATATTTATGAAAATATTTAAAAAATAATATCGCAGTATGAATTTATCTTCAGATGTGTTTCATGTGATTATCATTAATTGTAAAATGACAAAAGATATTTTAACTGATTGTTAATATTTTTAAAGTAAAACTATTGTAAACATTAGTTTAAAACTATTGTTGTTAATCTTGTAATATTGTTAGAGCCTATATATTTTAAACCTACTTGAAACAACAATACGTACTTTTATAAGCCAACACTATAATAGAAGAACTACTGAATCTCAATTAGGTGATATTATACAACTATTAATACTGAAACATGAACTTACATACAAAAAACTGTTAAGTAACTAACAAAACAAAATTTGTATAGTATGTGTAAGAATAGAAATAACATTTTATAACAGTAATTTTATTATAATATTAAATTTTTTATGAATTTGCTGGTTTTATTCTAATCATATATACAACTAAACAATTCATGAAAAGAAATAAGCATTATAATATTTGAAGGTATAATATTTTGAGAGACATTTAATATTTTAGACGTACGTGGTAGCTGTAGAGTATACAKGACCTTCTTGGGAGCGATCTGTAATCTGTACCATAGTTACACCCGCTCCCTTTTTTTGCTAGGATGATTTTRGAGCTGGGGCTGCTTCTGGAGGATCAGAAGGATGTGCTCTCATCCAATTATATAAAGGTAGTTCACAACAACAGAGCATTTTAATAAAACCAGGCACTTCAATATAAAGTGATGGTGGTATAGGTATTAATGGTGAAGTGGAACGTTTGTACAGCTGATAATGAGCATTGCTAAAATGTATAAAATAAAATTTTATTAAATATTTTAACTATTTAACTTTTAAATTATTAATAAATGGTATGAACCAAATACAAATGTTGAATTGTAATAATTTTAAAACTAATTTATATAACATTGGTGTAATAAAATTAAAAACAACATAAAGCATACATTGTATAAAAATAATTATTTTTAGTTTACATACTTTCTGAATCTATGATCTGAAACACGTTCTAAGTGTGGAATACCAGAGAGAAAGAGTATGATAAATGTTGTAAAAATTGGTGATATAACAACAATATACTCTGGACCTTCAATCACATTCAACGAAACAATAAAAACACCCCACCATAATACTATTTCTCCAAAATAATTTGGATGTCTAGACATGCTCCATAAACCTAAAATAGGATAAACATATCAAATATAACATTAATATATTAGTATTTTTTAACTTAACTTAACGTTTGGTAACATTTTAAAATTAATTGCTTGGTTATTTATAGCAATGACATTTCTAATTCAACATGAAATTACATTATAGTAACTCTATTTTTAAATGCAATCTTAGCGTATTGACTGTCATTTCTGTTTTAATAAATTTGTATATATTTTTAACCAATTATAATATTATTTTAAAAGTAAGTTAATACTTTCATATTATATTACAAAATACCAATTATACGTACAAAGATTTTTTGTTAATGATATAAGTTGCAGTATTGATTTTATATTTTATCAATTAATTACAGTTGGTAATTAGTACATAATAAAATATGTCGATATGATGAAAATATCATGAATAATGACCATAGGTGAGGCTAACAGGTATTGAGGAGTACTTTTGCTATCACACAAAAATACTATATTAGAAAAACTTAACTAAATTGAATCGAAATAAGTATAGTCAAATTATGAATTACAAATTAGGTACGTCATTTTTTTGGTAGCTAGTAACAATTTGAATTATTTTTAACAATGATGCAATAACTATAAAAAAAAATAATAAGTGCAATACTATAATAAAATAGTTGAATCGATTACTTGCCGTAATATACAGTTCTATAMAAAATATAACAGATTTTACTAAAATTTTAGAATACCTAAATAATTAGTTCTTGAATATTGAAAAAATTTTAATACTATAAACTAGCTGTATTTGAATAATAAGTGTTAAGTTTCAGATAACGATCTATGGATATTAGCAAACAATGCAAATAAACTGAATATATTTTTTTAATTTATTTATCGTTTTCTAKCCCAAAATTATGACTTAAATGACACACGTGGTAATAGCCTAATTCAATTTTTTTAAATTTTTAAATACCTAGTCGTAAATGTATATGTTTAATAGTAGATATTAATTAAGCCCAATTTTTGAACATAGTACGACTAATGACAGGGATAAAAAACTTTGATCGACTTACCATCATCACACCATTTTCCTTTGTTTGTTTCTTCACTTCTAAATGCATATTTTTGTAAATCAGCAAAAGTTTCAATAATGAAGCCAAAAATAAACACACAACAGCCAACAGTATCCAAAGTTGTCATAGTTTTGGGTGCTCCTGCTTTTATGGAATTGTGGGGTGCATTGATAACAATAATCGGCAAGCTAACAATAAGCACCCAAATAGCCTGCAGAATAGTTATAAAAGTGAAAAYTAAATTAGTATAACATTAAATTAAATAGTTTATAATTGAATACAATCTTTTAAAATAGTAAGTAGTCATACTTGAAATGTCCAAAACACAGCAAAGCGAATCATATTGCTACGTCTGTCTGGAAATGTTGCATCTCTTCCAATCTTTATTATTCGATAAAATAAATAAGAACTTAATCGAGCACCCCAAATGCATACAAATAATGTCACCATAAATTGCCGATTATCATGTGTCTATATATATATAAGAAAAATTAGTAAATATTTAAATCATAACATCTAAATAAAATAATTAAAATATGATTATTCAGTTCTCTGTTACTGATCATTTTAATATTACAGATGTATTTTTTGTTTTTTTTTTTGTAATTAGGTACTCTAAAATATCAATTACTACCAAAATAGATTAATTAATATTTTTCTTTCAATTTAATATTTGATATGTTTAAATATTGTCTAAAAAATAGTCTATCAATAAAATAAATTGTTCAAAGTAATATATTTATATTTTATGCATCAAGTACCTAAACATGACATTATTATTATGAACAATTTTAAATTCAGGGATTTTATATATGCAATATTATTACAATATGTTTAGTTGCCTATACTATCCCTCTCTTTTATATTAAATATGAATTTACAATATTACAAGAACTATTTACTCAATGGCTTATACTAAATAATTAAAAGATATACCATTGTTTATAATTTATTTGTAATAATTGGCTAATTACTTTAAAAGATAATTACATTCAATTTGATAGTTAAAAAACATTTAACGAATGTAAACTTGATAAACAAACCATTTGACAATTTGTTTTAAATAATTTTATTCCTCTAAAATATTAAGTTTATTGTAATTCACTAGATACCCACATGTGTACCTAAATAATATTTCATTTGCAAGTTTAGTTTAACCAATATTAATCGTAATTGATATACTATAAAATAATAATTGAGCATATTTTACCTGAGCTAATCCATATGTTAGTACAGCCACTAAAATGAAACTTATACCACCAGCAAAGTCAGCCACTTTATCATACTGAAGTGTTACAGCAATAGTGAAAAACAAAAGTTGCATAGCCACAACAACAATGGCACTAATGCCCAAATGATATTTATCCAATACCGCGACTGTCATTTTGATGGTTCATCTACAAATGTGTAATGCTACATAGGTAATATACTCACATAGGACCTGTAAAATTCATGAAAAGAATTTCTTATCAAAAATATCATGGTTAATCGTAAATTAATGTTTTTGCAATAATAACCTATGAAAAAAGTCCTCAATTCAAAAAATAGATATATTTCAGTTTAAATTCATATTAATATAAAATTTTTATTTAATTTAAACAAATATATATTGAGAAAATATTGAAAAATTGCATGTTTCATCAATCTAAGCTAAAATCCACAATCATAGAAAAACAGAAGAATTTCTATTTTGGACACTTGCTACAAGGTTTTTACATAGTAATTTTAAAAGAATAAATGTATATTGAACTAAGGACATGGTCAAAGAGATCAATGTAGTTTTTAAAAAGGTAAAATAACTACTTAAAACACATCCGTATTAAGTTAAATAATGGAAAAACTTATGAATTTGGAATACTTACATTTAGTATTTAGACATTAAAAATAGGCTTATAACAGGTAAAATAGAAATCAACTTTGGAAAGAATTATAAAAAATACCTAACTAAATATTTGTGATACCAAGGAAATATGTAAGTATAATATAATGAGGATTCATTTAGTATGTAATCTACCAAGATAATTATTTATATAATGTACAGACAACATATGGGTACCAATCTATTAATATTCAATTTTTTTTAAAATGATTTCAGGGATATACAAAAAATATATAACTTAACATTTTTTTAAATAATTTAAAAAAAATTGCTGTAAATAACAGGTATTCAATATTTGTCGAGTACATTATTTTTTTAAATGATTTTTAACACTATTTAATGTAATATTGTATTATTTTTATCACTAATTAATTAATAATAATTGAATAACATAATTTTATGATTTACAATTTGACTTAAAATACTAACCAAATACCCATTACGGGTAGATCACATACTACCTAAATACTTAATTAGGTACACATTGCACCTAATGAGAAGGCAATCTGTACATCTTTTTAAAATAAAATAAACAGAACATCCCCTAGAAGGCGACCAAGTAATTAGTTTATTGACACATAGTTGCCTTCGGACAACTTGAGAATTATTAACCAGAAACAATAACGTAATTCTTAAGATGTTATTTAACAAGAATACAAATAATGATGGCAGCAATGGTCCTATATGGACAGATAAGCTGAAGAAACAAAATATTCGGAAGACGTAAGTTTTTCAAAACTATAATATGATAAAATAACACAACTTTGATATTAAATATTGACAATTATCAAGATTTTTGTGTGACAATCTCACAGTTGAAATTATATTCACAATAGGTAATCTAATTAGGTACATACTTAATACTAGGCTTGTATTAATGAATTAGTTAGAATTTTAATTATTTTCAACTAATCGTGTGATTTCACTATAATTATAGATTAAGTACCAACAATTAGTCGTTTCTGTGAATAATTGGTATGAGATATTGCCAAAGACTCGTGAGGTTCTACACTTCTACCATAGGAAAATACTCGGGTAGTTCGCGTCACGAAGTACTTACGAGTTGTGACTATTGTGACTTGTGAGCGCCTTATTAGGTAAGACGGTATCGCCACCCAATTTCGTAGTAATGTAAAAATGACATGGATTATGGATATTTACAAATAACCAGGGTCCACAATTAAAAATTAACTACTATGGTCTATGAATCAACAACTTCGGAAGTCAGCCATTCAATTTTTAAGATCAAAATATTATCAGTCATATTGTTTGAAGTCTTGAGGTCTTGACTATCAGTGAGTGAAGAGTGCGGCATAGTAGCGATTACTATAATAATTGTTGTATACATAAAGTTATCAGCTGGTCACACACCGCATGCGCATTAATGAGAGTACGATTTTCGTAGTCCGAAAATGAAAGTAGCAGCAGAAGCAGCTGTTGTCAACTGGCGCCAATTTACGACTAGTGACTACTCAGCACGACAAAATATATGTTATATGTATAATGTATCTATTTTCATCAACGTCGACAATATGAGCCCTGAGCAGACCATTAAAATTTGAATTATAATCTTTGTTAATATTATAACATAATATTGATTGATTGAATTTATATTATCGAATATCGAACCACGATAGGTCAAAAAAAATGTATTAATTTATTATAKTAAGAAATATATTATGTATTTATATAACACGCCAATATTATCATAGAATATATGGTGTGGTTTGTCATTAGTGGCGTATCAACGAAGGGGAAAGAGTTTGAAATAACCCTCCCACTCAAATTTAAAAAAAAAAAAAAAACTATACCATGAAAAAGATAAAAATTATATATTACCGGAATTTATGCACGAGAATGAACATTTTGATATTTTGAGGTATCGAGAGGTCTTAATAATTATAATATAACAAATACAATTAATGATAAAACCCTTTGGAATGAGTGCCCTAAAAAAGCAGCCTATTTCTAATCTAAATTACGGACCACGACCTCTTATTTTGTTAATATAGGAGGAGCTCTATACAGTCTTATATTGTCTATGTGACCATCTAACTTTTAAATAGACTATTGAGTGACAACATAGTCTCATAGTGCTATAATATAATAACAATAACATATTAAAAAATACAGTATCAATAACATCACAAATAATTATCACGGCTCCAGTATGGAGGTAGAGGACTGGGGTGAAATGTTTTGGTCATCCGAACATCTTGGTGTAATTGTAACGTCTAAGGGCGGCCGCCAGGATGCGAGTCACGCACTTTCTCCCAACGGCGGTCTGCATGTCACGGATTCGGTGCACGGCTAACGCGACACGGCGGTCGTTTGGCGAGAAATGTGTGTGGAACATGGTGGCGTACACTTCGTATACGATCCACTTGCACTGCATGGGCGTGACTGCCGAGTAATGGATTACAGCGCGCGCGTTTGCATACACGATCCGCGCGATGCCACGAACGGTGTTGGCAAGGAACACAGGGTTCAGGTGTAAGAAGTACTGCTTGACGGCCGAGACGATGGCGAATGCCTTGTACGCAACTACGGACGCCACATTCCGGGCCACCGTGGCCGCCGAGTTGAAAGACTTGCCAATCAGAACGGAGGGCAAGGTGAGCCAGCTAGGCCGGCTGGCCTTGGCGTACAGAGCCCGGCCCGGCTGGCCACGGCCCAGTTTATAGTCGAAGAAGTGCAGCGGCCGTCGATTCCGGTACGTAGACAAGTCCTTGGCCACCTCACCCGTGGCCACGTTCAACCGAAACCCCAAAAACTTAACTGTTCCACCGCCGACGCCACCGTTGTCCACGTTCGTCTCGGTTTTGCACCGATTCAGTCGGAGTCCGTACTCGTCGAACCCGGCTCGCATTGTAGTCAAATACCGGAGTGCGGCGTTCCGGTTGGGCGAAACGAAYAGGTAGTCGTCGACGAACCGGTACAGCTGGCTGCCCGACTGACCATCCACCAGGTCCGTCAGCCGGGTAGCATGCAGGTCGGACAACAGCAGATCACACAGGGCCACGGACAGCCGGTCGCCCTGCACCACGCCTCTGGTCATGCCCCACCGGCAGCCGCGGCGTTCCACAGCGTTGCACCCGATGCACCGGCGCACCGTGTCCCAGATCCGGAATAGCGGTACTACTTCCGTTTTGTCATGGAAAACCAGTGACCCACCTTGGAACTCGGGAGTTGGTAGTCCACCCACGTAGCGGATCTTCTTGTAGTACACGGAGTCACCGCCGATTTTCACCACGTCTACTGTGTGCACAGACACCATCCGCTGCTTCTTGCCAAAATGTTCTTTGATCCGGTCCCGAATTACCGTTCGTAGTTTGTCGTGCACAAAGCTAGTAAATGCATCCCGGAAATCGGTGCGCACGAAGAACAGCGTGGTGGTGGAGATCAGACGCTGGGATTCCTGGAGCGCCTTCCATCCGCGGAAGAACTCCGGCCTCGATACGGACCGGTATTCGGATGGTCGGGTGCGTGACAAGCACCGCAAGAATGTCAGACAGTCGTCGGTCAGCCGTTTCTCGTTGCCACCTTCTTTCCGCCGCAGCTTGAATATCAGTCGTACTCCGTTGGGTTTAGCGTACGGGCATATTTTCCAGTTCCTGTACGACGACGATGCTTCCTCTTCGTCGGGCTGGATTTGTCTGAAAAATTCGCTGTCGGCGGCCATCAGTGGCGATAGCTTTTCGTGGCACATATCCGCCCACTTAGCCTTGGCCACGTACACAACTCCGTTGTTAGGCGTGGTGGTCGTAACGACTCGGAAACAGTGAACGATCCGACCAAACACAAACACGTTGGTTAACCACACCAATGTCTTGGCTAAGATTTCGGCTCGCCGGTCAGGGGCCACGCTCTCCAACCACTTGATCTTCTTCACTTTGATCTTGTGCACGACGTGCTCCACCGTATAGTCATGGAATTTGCCACCGTTCAAAACTCGGCACAGGTTGTCGCAGAACTGGTCGCGGTTTCCGGCTGTTCCAAATAACTCACGTGGCACAATTTTATGCACTACGACCCTGGCAAACGATTTGACCCTGCTCAATGGCACCTCGGCCGACGCGCAATCGCCCACCGTGTCTCGGTAAATGTTCCAGTACACGCGCGAAGTGTCCCTGTCGGCAATCACTTTGAGTTTTCGGGCTAGCCGGTCAAGACATGCCGCGGTACCGATTTCCTGATTGGCGCTTGACAAACTGTCGGCAGATACGCTGATGACGTCGGTGGTTATTATAGCACGCAACATCTTTGCCGAATCCTGCCGTCCGATTTGTTGCACATTCCGTAGTAGACCCGCGATATTGAAGTATTTCTGCGGTAATGGTTTCGATTTCAATGGTCGCTCGGCCTTCCACCGTGCACCGGCCCGGGCTCGGAACGCCTGCATCACTTCGTACCGGTTCGTTGACTGTGACGACGATTGCACGCAGTAATAAACGTGTTTGCCTAGCGGTACGAACAGCAGACAGTCGAACAGCAGGCGACGCATGACGCGAGGTCCGACGATACCGTAGAGTTGGGCCCACGGTTCCATCCGGATCAGATCACTGACAGTCATCAGGCACCGGTAACCGTTCCGAGGACCATCGTCTACTTGACCGCCGACAAACTGTGGCTGTATCTTGCTATCACAATACAATACGAATTCATCCAGGCTAACAGCGGGCCCGTCTGCGACACTACGGTTCCGGAAGAAAACTTGTACGTCGTAACAGACGATTACCGAATGGAGGTCTCGCAACACCGCCGCGTCCATGGAGAACAGAGTTTCCGGCGGTTGCGCTGCAAGCAACAGAAACTCTGGCAAGCTGTTCGTAACGAACTTGTTCGAGTTCGTGACCGGCATCGCTAAATCATTATTGTCACTCGTTAAAGTCTGAATGACAGTGCTCGTATTTTCGAAATTATTTACATTCGCACGACGATTGAATATTAACAAAAATATGAAATCAAATCAAAATATCTGACTACAATTTAAGAAAACTTCTTGAGTCGTGCATTAGATATTTCGAATATCATATTCGAACTCGAAGTTTAAACAACACAAATCCGTTTATCTTAACAGATAAGAATTTTGATATCTCAATAACCGTGGTTTGTTTGGAAAATAATATCAAAGAATTTATAATCTGTGATAATATTTTGATGTCTTGAAATATTAATTATCATTTATCATTCGGATTCTATCTAAACCACAGATATAATATAAACATATAACATAATTACATAATATGTTTATATATCTGTGATCTAAACGCAATAAACGCATAGATATCAGCTATGTCTAAACGATGGTTATCATATTCCAATTCCAAAAACCATAGAAATAAATTATCCAAATTATACTCATGAGTCATGGACAGGTCTACGACATTAGAACTTAGAAGACATCTTAAGAACGCGGACTGGTCCATCTTATACCAAATACATTTATAGTTCCGTGCTTATATAGTGCAGTGAAGCATCCCTTTTAATGTATATCAGAAATATGTGTATGTTTATAACTATATAAATTTATATATTTTGTAGCTAAGTACTGCATCAATATAACTTACTAAAGCGCTACCTTATCTTGACAGTTGACACGGACACACGGTGGAAACGTGAAGAAGCCCAAAAGGCTGGACTTGAGTGGACTACTATAATAATATGTATAATATGCTGAATGCTCCAGATAGAAAACTTCATAGAAACATGGAAAAGAGATTAAAAATATATAGCAGGAGAAGAAAGATAAGTACATTAAATAATTGTAATATTTATTCACAAAATGTTTGTACTAATTATTGTACATAATCGTTTTTAATAATAAATAATAAATTGTTATTTTACTTAATTGTTTTGAATGTTTTTTTATTATTTGTTTTCGAGAAGTCTGCGGCATCTGCGCACAAGATTTGATAATATTACGGTATGAAAATTAAATTTGGACGGACAGAAATTTATCTATAATGTATAATATCAAAAAGTGCAACGTCCTAATTCGTAAAAGAAATTTAATAAATACTATTTTCTTTTTGAACTTTTATTATGTTTCACTTCCAATTCAAATATTATTGTACAGTTGTTGTTGGTTACACTGTTGACGAACAAACTGAATTGTGATTGGACCTGTGGTTATCATAGGTTTATCGGTCATTGTTTTTTTTTTAAATTACGATTTCTCAAACATAACGTATTTTTCGAAGTCTACTCCGTATGCCGTATGGTAAATGTTAATATTAATTAACTATAGTAGTGAGGTGTGCTTTTTAAGCCTTTTTGTACGTTTTTATTGATAATACCTTTGCTAGTGATAAATCGTTCGACATGCAGTGATCAATGTCATTATTTTTTTATTAAACTCGTATCCGGTTTTAATTATTTTCGTTATTACTTCGAATGAGTATGAAAACAAACCTAACGGCGTAAACCTAATTTGACATATAATCGTGGAATTCAAGGTAGGTAAGGATTTGCTCTCAAATATATTACAACGATATGGTTCCTCTACAGCTGGTACGATAGTAAGGGTGAGTTACTCAAATTTGTTAACTATTTTTGGTCGTTATTGGTGGTAATTCCAGTTTCACTAACTAATGTTTTTTCAAACAACAAACTTACTGCTAAATTTTGATAAGAAAATAAAATAAAAATTTAATTGTTCATATGAAATCATTTGAATTATTTATTTTTTAACAGGCAAGAGTTAGAGTACTTACTTAAAGCTGAGGAATTTTGACATTAAATCACTTCAAAATTAAATTCATAATATCTAATTTATATTATGAATTTATATTGTTTTAGCACAAATTCAATTATGGTTCTTAACCGTAGAAGCTTAGAAAATTTGAAAAAACTTGTACCTGGTCGGGGACGAAATGTTACCAAGGAAGAACAGATGCGAGTATTTGTCCGTATTAAACCTTTACCAGAGGAAGAGGATTTACTTAAGCCGTAAGACTTTACTGCTTAGTTATGAATAGTCTATTTATAAGATAAAATTTATAAGCAATTAATTTTAATACACCTGCTTATCAGTTTTTTAAGAATTAGATCCGGGATTAGATCAAAACTTTTCAAAGAAAATGTATTACTCAACATAATCAATATGAGTAAAAATACTAGGTACCTATATCACCTATTGTTAACAAAATATAAGATGTTGTATGCATATTATAATTTATTCTAGGTGTTTAGGCATAATATAAATAGGTTGTGAAAAATATGAATATCATTCCCTTGACATTTTATTTCTAAATTTATTTTGAATATAGGTACATGCATATTTATTGTATTAATATAATTAGGTATACTATCCATTGACCAAAAACATATAACAACAATGCAATAGCCATTAAATTAAGGAACAAGGATTTGTGATCAATGATCATAGACCTTATACTGATAGACGTAACATGCCAGATTTGCAGGGTAGAATGGTATAGTCTAAAAAATTGGAACAAAATTAATATTACTATTATAAATAGAAGTAATATAAATGTGTTGCTAGTGCATATGTGCTGTTTTTTTGTGGGACCACAGCATATTGTAAACTTGTGAAATTACTACTATGTTTTGTTATAAGTATAAGGTGTATGTTTGTAATGCTCAACTACAGCCAATCAATAAATTGAGTTCTAATTGACATAGATAGTTTTAGGTGGTAATTTAATAGGACTTTCTATTTACTAAGTTAGCCACTTTAATTTCCCGAAGGATTATTATTACCTATTTACTATCAATTAGATATGTTTATTAATAAGTAAGTATAGTTTGATATAATGTTTTTTATTTTAACATTTTTACTTAAATACATCACACATTAAAACTGTACAAAATATGTACCAAACTAAACTATTGATTATTAAAAAAAAAAAAAAATTATATTATTAGAAATACAATTAATTTTTCTGGTATTTAACATATTTAGTTATAATCAAGCACAAATAATGAACTTCATAAAATATTGATTAGTAAAAATATTATGTTTCAATCTTTCCTAAGTTTTTAACAATCTTATCAAGTTCTCCTATATCTTTTATTGATATTTTTCCTGATCCTCGGGATAATGGTTTTGGTTGTGATGGATCTGGTTTCCATCCTATCATGTACAAGACTTGAAATGTAGCTGGGATACCTTTAGTATCACTGTTTTCATCTTTATTACCATAAAGTTTATCATATATAGCAGCTGCTGAAAACATTGTATTCTTGTTCAGTCTCAATGGTCGTTGTAGAACAGCATTATTTTCTCCCATGCCTTTTAGGTCCCACATTAGTTCAAACATTGATGGGTAACGAATAATAAGTTCATCTGTGTCCAATGTTAACATTGAAAATCCAGCATTTTGCATTAGTGCTCCCACATCCCTAAGGCGAACAAAAGGTGATATTCTGGGTGCTATTCCTCCATCACGTTCAATACCTGCCAATTGTAATGATGATCGTAATTCAAATAAAGTGTCACCTGCTAACATTGCTCCTAAAAAGACTCCATCATTTTTCAAAGAATTTTTTATTTGTAGAAAAGTTGAAGGTAAATTATTAACCCAATGGAGATTTAAACAACTTATTATTAAATCGATACTATCATTTTTAAAAGGTAATGTTTCTTCATCTACTACTATTTTACTAACCTTTACTTCAGGCTCAGGGTTTTTGGATTTATTCAAAATTTCTTGGCATATATCACACATAATCAACTCTTTTACATTGTCTATGGAAATGTGTTTTGATACATGTCCATATCCACAACCTAGATCGACCACTAAATTAAATTGTCGTTTTATATCGAAAAGACGATCTGATAAACGATAACCAACTTCTTCTTTAATGTACTCATAAACTGAACTATCTTCTGCTATGGCTGCTCGTTGTTTTTGAATAACTTTAGCTTTTCTGTCAAATACAGTCATTGGTGTTAGTTCATTTGAATTTTTTAATGTTGCTAATTTTCTTATAAATGATTTTGGCTTTTCACTTGTAAATGATTTTCTTAAGATATTCATTTTACACGACATTTGTTAAATCTCACTGTTGGATTAAATATATTTTTCCAAGAAGTTAATTTTATTCATCAAATATTGATCAAAAGGTAAATAATGAATATATATTTCTTTTAAAACTTGGTTTTAGCACTTGGTTAATTTGATTTACAATAACTTATTTCTATTTTCTACGAAATACGAATAATTTTAGGAATGGCTGATAGGTCATTGGTATTTACTGTTTGTGTCACAATATTCACTTTTATTTTTTGTTATTTCATATTTTACTAACTAATCTTAAATTTGTGAACTGATAAAAAAAATTTGGTTCACAGTGTTACCAAATTAAATAATATTAATTTATGTTGAGAAATTAGAAAATTTACACTACATCCATTCTATAATAATCATATTGTGTTGGTGTCTAAATATGTACAAACAAAAACTGTTTTACATGAATCAATAACATTATATCAATTTAAGTTATTAGTTACGGGGTTTTAGTTTTTTTTGCATTTGTTATTAGTAATGACTCGTTACCCTTTTGAACGTGAAATATATTTCAACAACATCTTTTCTGTTAAATAAATGAACCTGATTGGGGGATCTTATGAAAATATTCTCAATAGTTTTAAAAATTTTCAGAAAAAACAAACAAAAAATTAAAATAAAACAAATTCTTACTCTAAAACAGTTTTCGAAAATAATAATGTCGTGTTTTAGTTGAACACTAAAAATTTTCACTGTGTGTTTATATAGGTGATTTCCATCAACCAAATAACTTTTATAATATTGAGATTATTTTTGAGTTATTTTAAGGCTTCAGAAAATATCTTTTTTTTTATTATTGTCGACAAGTTCTTTTTGTTAGGCTAAAACAATATTTGAAAATGTAATACATTGTTTCTCATTAGTTGTTGTTAGTAGAAATTAAAAAAAAAAATTAGAGTAAATCTACAACAATTTTTTACGAAGGTCTGAAGTTTACATTTTAAGAAAATGTATCAAAATTATGAAAATTAGCTAATTATTTCGAGTTAGATATTCATGAAAATATCACTAAGATTTACTTCACTGTCTGATATCTGTCACATTGACTGCACCACTGCATGTCTACATAGGTTGGTATTTAATATTTATTTTTATACTTAATAAACACAAAATGGGTTTGTGCCCAAGTAAATATAGTACACATATAACATAATATCATAATCTAAAGTAGGATGACATAAAAATATGAAAACAATACATATCAGCTAAATGGATTTATATATATTAAGAAAAGAAAAATTAAAATTTTCTAGTTTCATTAGTTGATTAATTTTGGTATTGAACATGTATTTTGATGAGCCTTAAGAGTACGTAATAGTGGAATTTTTGTCTCCGTCTTACCAGTGCATAATATAGCAAATTTGGGCTCATCAGAACATTTGTAGCTCCTTTAGTTTAAAAATTACAGTGAATCAACCTATTATGAAACTTGATGGTAAGAACATAATTTGTGTTTGTATGTTGAATTATGGTAAAAAATCACAAAAAACAAATTATGTTCTCACCATCAAGTTTCATAATAGGTTGATTCACTGTAATTTTTAAACTAAAGGAGCTACAAGTGTTCTTCTGAGCGTAAATTTGCTATATTACGCACTGGTAAGACGGAGACAACAAATACTACTGTTACGTACTCTTAAACAGAGAGGAATATGTAAAGAAGTTTTATAATGTGTAAGACATGAAAGAACTTTAAAGTTAAGAAGAGAGGGAGTATCAATGACAGTAGAGTTGAGTTTTATGAGGAAGGAAAAAATGTTATGTAGGTAATGGCGGTCAGCTTTAGTAGTTTGAGTTAAGTTAGGACGGGGAATAGAAATAAACACGATTATATATTTAAAATGAGCCATTATTATTTATTGTATTTAAATAACCTAATTTCATGATTTACAGTAAAACAATAAGAATTAGAAATGATAATGCGTTGATATTTGATCCAAAACAAGATGAGACACCATTTTTTTTCCATGGTGTTAAGCAAAACCCCCGAGATATTTCAAAACGACAACATAAATCGATAAAGTATGATTTTCATCGTGTTTTTGGACCTCAAAGTTCTAATGAAGATATTTATAATGAAAGTACTAAAGATTTACTTGACAAACTTCTATGTGGATATAATTGTTCTGGTATGTATCAATTTAATATGCCATGATATATTTGGTATTGATACAAATAATTTTATTGGTTTTTATGTAGTAAGTGATTAAGTGATTTAGTGTTTAGGTTGGCATGAATAAGTGCTTGCCTGAAAAATCCTGGCTGCTCTACTGAGTTAAACATCTTAGTATTTTGAAAAACCTATGCTGCTTTTTTGTGTGAAATTCACTCAATTTTTTTTTTTTTTTTTTTCTTATTTTCAGAAATGTTATCCTTATTTTTCTGATCAAACTTTGATTAGAAAAAATGTAATTAACATTTTTTTTATTTTAAAGTGTAGGCACCTAAAAGTATCAAGTAAAAAATCACACATTAATTGACAGTCAACATTTTAACAATTTTATTTTCAATTAGGTATAACTTCCCTGTAAATGCTTTCACAAAATAAAAAAATATAAGAAAACAATAAAAGTTTTAAAATTTAAAGAAAACCTATTTAATTATGTGATGTCTAAAAACTGTATAATTTATAAAAACTAAACATTTGTATAGTTAATAATAGTTGACAGCAATAATAAAAATAATCTAAATAAAAATTAACAATCAATAAATACTTGAAAATAGTTGGTTATAGATGATAGTTTAGTTAATTAAACTAAAATTAAATAATAATAATTCTCATTAACATTAGATATTATAATGATATTTAAACCCTCCTCAAGTTTGATCTCAGGTATTATTATACTAAAAAATCGATACATTTTGATTAATATTGCTGCCTTTTCTTGACCCAACAAACTTCTCTCTTTGTTAAAAATAAGGCCAACAGTGAAAAATATGTGCTATTATAAACCAGAGCTAAGAGGGATATGTAGTAAGGCAGAAAAACCATTGTAGCTATAGTCTGTTTAAAATGAGATTGGTACAAGTGCCACTTATTGCGCATGGGCGTGATTTTGTGCCGCTGTACGGACTGAGATGATCTCATAGACAAAAATCGATCGCTGCTGTGTACCAATCTCATGAACAGAATATAATTTATAGAAAAAACGCCTGATTTTTTGAATAAGTTTTTTCAGAAAAAAAACTGATGAAATCATCCACCCTTACTTTAATGATAAAAGCCATCTAGTTTTTCTAGATTTTTCACTAACCCTGTTTAGTATACTGTTAATATAATAATTACAAATTATCATTATTTTTTTCAATTTGTTGATTATTATTTTATGGAAATCACTTACTATATGAATGACTAAATATTTTACTATTTATCAACAATTAATTTATTCTTGTATTGTAGTATTCGTTTATGGAGCAACAGGGGCTGGAAAAACATTTACCATGCTGGGTAATGAAATGAACTATGGTATTACATATTTGACTATGAAAGACTTATATGAAAAAGTAAATGAACAACAGAATTCTAAAAAATTTGAAATTTATGTTTCCTATCTTGAAGTAATGTTTTATAATATAATATTTAAAAAGTGATGAATTTAATTTTGGAATTATTTTTATATTAGGTGTATAATGAAATGGTATATGACTTGTTAGTAAGTGATAAGAAACCTTTATTTTTKCGCGAATGTGGAAATACAACGTCAGTTGCTGGTATTACAATAAAAATGGTAAACAATGTTGATGAACTTATTGAAATGCTACGTAAAGGAAATGATAATCGTACTCAGCATCCTACTGATGCCAATGCTGAGTCATCCAGATCACATGCCTTGTTTCAAGTGTATATACAGATGACATTTAAACATACAGATCAAGTAAAAATGGCCAAGTTGTCCATGGTTGATCTTGCTGGGTCAGAAAGAGCATCTTCTAATAAAGGGATGAGATTTAAAGAAGGGTCTAACATTAATAAGTCACTACTTGCTCTTGGTATGTTTGTTATTTTAAATATTATTTCAATAGCATATTTAGCATTAAAAATCACTAAACAGTTGACTAAGCAATATTAAACTAAGGCCCTCTAAACAGAATTTGGTGGCCCATGATTTGTCTATTAGGAATCAAGTTTTATTGAACAATTCTATTATTACATTTTTCATGCAATTTGACATGGTTTTAACTAACTATTAAATGTATAGTTTAATACAGTGCTTCCCAACTTAGTTTTTTTTTTAGTCAACTTTTTTAGGCTAATAATGAATCTAACTTCACTATATATATATAAAAAAAAATATGGATATATGAATATAATTTTAACTGAAAATTGATGAAAAATTCTTTTTATTTTATTTGATTACTCTACATACATTTTATAACTAAGTGAACTGTAATGCGTATAATTATATTTGTATTAAATGTTGTGTTATTTTATTACAATTGATGGAAAATAATATTATATTAATTTTTTTTACATTTTTTAATTTCAAAGTATTTATATTAAATAGTTTAACTAAAAATAATCTTTATATTTAACAGAATTAGCTATTCATTATTCAGTATTGCATTATATTAAAATTAAATTATAAAATTGTTTATAATAAACATTTTTGTTAACAATAATTATATTATGGCCAATGTACTTTATTGTTTAAATTATTATTATTGTAGAGTCATGTATCCAAAAAAGGGTAAATTTGTGGTTTTCCATTACAAAAAGATTAGAAATCATTATTTTAGTATAAAAAAAGTAAATATTTATACATAGATGTACATTTATATTTAGGTACTGTAGGATAATATTTTGTGTATATTAGGAGGTATCATATTAATTGTTATAAATTAAAGCTATGAAATATAATGTATAATTTAGACCATTATTAATTATTTATGATAGGGAATTGTATCAACAATTTGTCAGATGGTTTGAGGCACATACCTTACAGAGACTCAAAACTAACTAGATTATTAAAAGATTCTCTTGGTGGAAACTGTAAGACATTGATGATATCATGTGTATCACCAGCTTTGTCGTCATATGAAGATACCCACAACACATTAAAGTATGCTTCTCGTGCTATGAAAATCAAATCTAATGTGAGTATTTATTTTGTAATATTTTAATGATTCAGTATGTTTCAATATACATTTTATAATTTAAGTTAAAAGAAAATGTAATGTCAATCAACCATCCTCCATCACATTATACAAAATTAA